CGAAACGTTAGGAAACAAAACTTCAAGACCACAGCCACACAGCCCGGAAGACCCACACCAGCCATTGTATGCCGGCCGTGAAAGCCTTCGACAATACATCAAGTCATGAACCTTTAAATGTTTCATTTCTGCCTCAGAGAATCATTGGTATAGTTTCCCCCTTTTTTCTGATATTGAGACTTTGAATGTAAAAGGTTGACGTCCACCTCTAAAACAGTTATTTTAGATAAATCATGTTTTTACACAATGCTGATGCAGTTGTTTATTTATTGGTGGGGATTTGCGGGATTGTGCCCCCTTGTGGTTCCTAAGGAACATTAATATAGATTTAAAAGTACAAGCTTTTTAAAGCACTTGGTGCACCTGCTTTAAAGACATGAAACAGTTCTGAAAACAAAGTAGGAAGAATATTTTTTTACAGGGTTTTTTTTTGGTTTTTTTTTTGGAACCCAGAAAAGTGACTCTCAGTTTTTAAAAATGTCATTAGGACATTTAATACCTATCAACATGCACGCACTGAGTTTCAAAATTGAATGCTTGATAAAGTAATGTTAAATTTCCTAGAAATAAGTTTGAAGACCATCCACACATTTCAAATATTATAGTATTCAGATCGACCATTGGTATTTGCAAGTCGTATGTATCATTTATGAAGAGGAAAAATGTCACATTCTATTATGTTGCAGACAAAATAATGTAATCAAGAAATTTTTCCATAAGCATAATTAAAGATCTAAAGACCTAAAGACCTAAATCATGATTAAGGGCTTAGCCTCATTTGTATATAGAGCCATTTTATGCTGATTACTGGAAAACCATGGTTTGCATTAACCATACATAAGTACAGTATTACATTTCTCTGAACTAAGCTTGGCTTCATTCATATTGAACATCCATCAGCTCATTCATATTGAGTGTCCATTAGCTCAGCTATCCAGAGAAGGAGCTGTTGAACCTCTATTAAGTTAATTTAGGACACACACTCACAATACCTATTATAGCTGGAATTACAACTGGCTAGTTTGGGTTGAGAGTATATAACTTAATAAGGTATGCATATGCTACTTAATTAGTGTGAGTATCAGATAAAATATCTAGAAACTATTTTTGTCATATTAACAACCAGTTGCTTCTTGCTGCCTTCTTCCCTTGTCAATGATCTTATTCCTCATGTGTGTAAATAATGTGCTAGAATACCTCGGAGTGCTATGAGGTCAGACTGTAAACTCAGCCTTTTTTCTTATAGATATTCAGATGTTTCATGTCTCCCAACCCCATCTTTTTCTGTTTTGCTTCTCAAACCTCTATGGATTTTCTCCACCCCTCATGATTCTTCCTCCTTCTGAAGTGATGATGCTGACTTTGTTACATATTTGACCATACTAACAAAATGAGCTTGCTATTACTATATATCAGAAGAAGCTGTGGCTCATGGACTGTGGGTGCTTACAAATCTCTACTTAGGTTGTACTTGGTCCTCTGTCAGTCATATGCTTTGATTTGTAGAACAGTAAACAAAACACTAGAACAGAACAAAAACCTGATAGCCTGCTTTGGCCCCCACCAATTTTCAAGTGGTCTATAGAAAAAAAAAACCTTCAGTTGAGAAATCTGTTTCATCTCTCCACCTTTTGTTGGTCATATTTATCCGTCATCTGTGTTCCATAACCTCAGATCTGCTTAGTTTCAGTGTAGTTGCTTCCAACCATTACGCTAGCAAAAATGCTTCTAGATACACGTAATATTGAACCGTTGTTCTTCTTTGAGGCCAGTAACTCAGCGCTAGACCCTTGTTCTCTGTGCAGCAGGTCTGAAGTTCAGTATTTCCAATTTGGAAAAACTCCATCCAAAATCTCAAAGAGCTTTTGCCAGTCAAAGTAGATCCTATTGAGCCAGGTAGGCCATTGATCTGACTCTGGCAGCTTCCTTTATTCCAGTGGGGTGGTGGTGTTCACATATGTTTTTCTTTTGAGTCTACCCTTCCATATTCCTTTATGGGAGATATCAAAAGAAAAGGAACAAAATTAAAATGGATTGGTGTTGCTGATTTTTATCTAAGGGGTTAAGGGTCAGTGAAAACAACATATGTTCTTGTGCTCTTCTATTGATGGCTCATATCTCCCCAATTTAAAAAAAGGGGGGAAAAAGCATATGCTCCCAATTTACATATTTACTAATTAAAAAAAGCTTCCTGGAAACATTAAGCAGACTATCTTGGATAACCTTTAACATTGTAGCTAATGGATATCGCCTGGAAATTTTCATAGAAGGTCTTCTAAATAATGTAAATGATTATGAATATGTAACTAGTTAATATGCAGCTACGAAAGGATTATCATGTAGAGGTTAATGAACATGCTGCACTTCACGGGTTGCAGTGCCTTTAGCACTTTATGCTTGGAAAGCCCCGCGTTGGGAATGGAGAGGTTCCCGTTGAGCTCTTGTTCCTCCTACATAGAAATGGGGGATTTGAGATTTCTTTTTTTTTTTCTTAAAGGATTTCAAAATACACATCCCTTAATAGTCATACAGTAGGAACAGCACTGATATAGGACATTTGGTATTGCGTCCTTCTTATGGCCTCGTGGATGGGTGCTGCTGTCCCCATAAAGTAGATGGCCTGGTTCATTTGGTGGTGGCCTCTTGGCTTTCCTCACGCATTTCACCCTTCACTTTGGGTTTCAAAATCATCATACCTGAGTCAATCATGTACATTGCATTGTAAGGTTTACTTTTAAACCAGGATTAGAAACTATATTTTGTACTAGCTGAACCATGTTCTAGTTATATGAGGGACTACTGTAATTACCATGAATTGAAAAGGGAGAATTTTTGGGCCTGAGCCCCAAAATCTGTCAGTGGGATGGGTGCACTTAATTATATCATTCTTCTACTTTTTTTAAAAATTAATAGATTTTTTAAAAGTGGCAACTATTAGATCACTCTTTAGAAGAGAAAAATAAATATAAATCAAGTATTTCTATTAATCATATTTGTCCTAAAGTATTTAATTTTTATATTATGGGATGGAAGAGGATAGAATGATTTTCTGCAGCACTTCATGTACTTAAAGGCAACCATCCCAAGTTATTTATGGAATTCGATAAACACAGTAATAATATTTTCTCTATGTCTATTTTCACAGTAATATTTGGTTTTCTCTCTTTTTATCCTGGAAAACCATCTGCAACCATGA